AGGAAACCAGCTCAAACCACAAAGCAGAAGAGCCCAGGATCCAGAAAAGCTCCGGGACTGGCAGAAACTGCCTTACTGTGAAGGATAATATCATGGCAAGGCATGGCAGGCATCAGTTCCATGTAATGACTCGACTCAGGTCATGGCCGGCTTCGGGCGGAGCTCGGTAGATCTACTTCTCTGTTCTGATCTGCGCGACCACAATTTTTTTACCATACTACAATTGTAGTATATTAGTACATACAGAATTGTAACATGCTGTCAAAATCGAAAAATATATTAGTACATGTAGTCGAGTCGACTTCAGCCAAAAAGGAAGTAAGTGCCAAAGCCAGAGCTGCGCAGATAAAGTCTTTAACCCTTTAACCGTCAGACCATACATTTGTGGGTCGAATTCGACCCATCATTTGAAATACTCGCACTGGAAAGATATTTTACCCACGATAGAAAATTTACTATCGATTCGGTCGAGAATTTTCCAGGCTTTCCATTGCAGAAATCCGCGTTGAGCTACGATGTAGTGGAGCAGAGTTATCAAGCGCTGAGTACTGCACGCTTGTCACTTCCGCTGCGCTGGGCGCGCGGCTGACGTCGTCACGGGATTTCCCCGTTTCTTCACGCGCTCTATGACTGTTGCTCGCGACCAACGTATTCCTCACGAAATGCTCGATCTCTGAAAAAAAAATTGAACACTCTACGATGAAGGAGACGGCCATGGCGGAGTTTTGAACTTGTCATTTGCATGCCTGGCGTTGAGACGACGTCGCTGCGTTCCAGCGCTGGTTGTGTGACTGCTGAGGCGAAGAATGTGGTATCATCGTGCTGGTCTCGTCCAGAGCTTTCCAACGAGCCCAAGATTATAAAAATCGAGTGAGTACAACTAAAGTTATGACCTGGCAAAGTTGAAATTTCGTTCGGCGTTTCAATGGGTGAAATTTATATGACGGTTTTAACCCTTTATGGGTCTCACATAAGCGTAAGGGTCGTATGTGACCCTTACAGTAAAATCGCATTTTCTATGAGTTTTGTTGCTAGGAGACAACTAAAATTTTGCTCCACGCGTAGCTGAGGTCCAAGGCTTTCCAACGGTGTAAAAAACAACCATACCCACCATTATCCATATAAAAATCGCTCTGTGAGCGGTTCTGAAAAACCTTTACTGGTACTGCCCCGTCGTAAAAGTAAGAAATTAGAACTGGCCCATTGTCCCCCCAAATGCGAACTGATCCACCTAAATCGCGAATGACGGGACCCGAACGCACCAGTAGCACGAGGTCGGGAGGGCACAGGATCACGGCAATTATCATAGGGTAACACCAGAAGTAGCAGTAGAATATATTATTTTGATAGGGAAGCCTACCGCTAGTACAGTACATGGCCTATGGTCCGGACCAACGTCCCCATCTGCATCCACAGGTAGGAACCTCGTGCTACTGGTGCGTTCGGGTCCCGTCATTCGCGATTTAGGTGGATCAGTTCGCATTTGGGGGGACAATGGGCCAGTTCTAATTTCTTACTTTTACGACGGGGCAGTACCAGTAAAGGTTTTTCAGAACCGCTCACAGAGCGATTTTTATATGGATAATTTCAGCTCTTTTTCCGTTCCCTCCCCACCCCAACCCCGAAGGTAAACATGATGACCACACGCGCGATGTACTGTATGTAGCCATGCGACTGCAATAACACACTGATACATACCAGCCCTCCCCGCCTCGCTACCCCGCACACAGATACACAAACATGTGTATGCACACGGCACACACACGTGGCCACGCACACATACGCACATGTACACGACACAAACAGGAAATTCTTCATGTATAATGCCATGCAAAGCAGTGGCCACCGTACTTGAGGAAGTCAGTTGTGAAACAAAAATAATTCAACTACAGCGTGTAGACAAGCTGACGGCCAAAGCACAACATAGCAAACATGACATTTGCCCAATGATTGCAGTTTGCAGACCATGCCATGGAAGCAGCGAATACAGAATGTAATATCATACAAAGGGACAAGCAAGGACGTGGCCATCATACACCAGAAACTTGCAGAAAGTCACATATCCAACAGATAGAGAAGTGAACAGCAATCTGATACAGCCCACACAGGACAAAGCGGACCTGATACTCGTCCCAGAATCGCAAGTGGCAAACCCTTTTCAATGCATAACATGCAGGTGTACGTTAGACGCATGAACATCTGACCGTGTCGCCAGCATACAATGTCATCACATGTTTACCCCACAAGTTACACACATGCACAGTAGAAGCACAATGAAAGCAATGGAAAAGTACGTTGTGGTTGCTGAAGCATCTTCACACTTCAAATTCAGACTTCAATGTGGTCGTCACGGGATGATATACCTGCAAGATACAAGTGATGAAGAAAGAAAGCAGAAGGTCGTGAGGTAGGCTATGAGACACCACAAACGGTTCACCTACATGTCTGTTCAGGGCTAGTGCACTCACACGGAGAATTGTCATAATCGAGCATTTCCCAAACTGAGAAGTGCAATGAAATCCACTTGCATGCACAGGAGCAATTTTGCAATATTATGATGCGCAATTCGACACGATCTGCGATGCTGCGTGCGATGTGCCCTGCTGTCATGATAGTGACAGTCACCGCAGTATGTTTTGTCAACGTCGCCCGTGCACTCTTCTGTCAAGTCCAAAGTGCTCACATACTTGGCAATGTTTTTGCAGTGATTAACTTTTATCCTAGTGTCACGGGTAACTTTAATGAAGTACCCGCAGGCCGTGTCGATCCGCACATCGTCCACTCTCTCATGTACTTGGCCTGCTTTGTCTGTGTATCCATTTCATGTGCGATCCACAAAATCGACTAGACAGTGGGTGCAATACGCGCTCTACCTGAAGACGTTCTTCTGGCGACATCTCGCCATGTACTTGGCCTGGCTTTGTCTGTGTATCCATTTCATGTTCGATCAACAAAATCTCAATGCACTACAGAGACTAGACAGTGGGTGCAATACGCTCTCTATCTGAAGACGTGAACCATTAAGTTTTTTGGAAAAGTTATACGTACACCTGAAACGTAATGAAGTACAGGAATAGAGAGAGTGACTACAATACGCTCTCGACCTGATATAGTGATAACGTGAGTACAAGACACTCTCCACCTGATAACGTGTCAGAAGGTAACATGTCTACAGTCCCACCGTACCCTTCCGACACGACTGTAGACCATTAAATATTTTTGAGAAGTTATACGTACACCTTAAACGTAATGAAGTACAGGAATAGAGAGAGTGACTACAATACGCTCTCGACCTGATAACGTGAGTACAAGACACTCTCCACCTGATAACGTGTTAGGCTGTGTTTACATGAGAAATTTCAACCCGGGTTGAAAGTCTGTACGATAGACAAAAGAGGTGAGTGTTTACATGAAGACAGTTGACCCGGGTCAAATACTGATATGCCGCCAAAAGTCCACTTCTACAGTCCTGTATGGTCACGTGAATCCGTTCGCGCGAAATTTGCATCTGCAGTGCCGTTCAAACCTGGCGCGAGATACGCACAGAAGTACGTTTGTACGATTTTCTTGACCCGGGTTGATTTCAACCCGGGTCAAGCGCAATGCGTCATGTGAACGCGCCATTCATTTTGTGCACATGGCGGGTTGAAATCTGACCCGGGTCGAACTCAACCCGGGTTGAAACGCTTCATGTAAACACAGCCTTAGTAGAAGGTAACAGGTCTACAGTCCCACCGTACCCTTCATCATTCCTCATTCACCATCGCGCGATACCCTGGCACACACTGGCAACATATCAATGGGGTGCCTTACCGTCGTCTAGAGGAGACGTCTTCGCAGCAATATTTTCCCTCCTGCGCATTCAGTCGCCGACGCGACAGCGTTCACGGGGCCGTTCCAGTTGCGGAAGACATTCGATTCATCGGGCCAATTCAGCAACAGGGCCGTGGACACACAGGGGGCAGAGGAGAGACATTGTTAGTGGACAAGAAATATGCAGTGGCAAGTGGCGAGTGCCGCATGGATGTCAAGTTGTCATGCACAATTCAGCTATTACTTACGGTCCAGCTAGTCCTGCCATTGCTCGCTCGTCCTGGTTCCTCCTCGTTCGTCTTCCTGCACGTCTGCACTTCTCCTTCCCCACCGTTGGCTTTGCGGTACGGGGGTGCCGGAAGGATTTCCCACATGTACATGAAGTCCCACCATGTCTCCATGTACATGTCCACGGCCACGTCAGCAGTTTTATAGTACCGGAAGGAGTTCCCACGATGTCTCCAAAGGCCTAGAGCGGACGTCTTTGCAGCAATTCTTTTCGCCCTGCGCATTCAGTTCGCCATGTCTCCAAAGGCAAAGGCCTAGAGCCTAGTAGAGGGGACGTCTTTGCAGCAATTCTTTTCACCCTAGTACCCTGCACATTCACTCCGCCGACACGACAGCGTTTACGGGGCCGTTCCAGGTGCAAAAGGTCCACGTCAGCAGTTCTCAACTATTTCGCGTACGGGATAGTCGCCGCGACAGCGTTTAAGGGGTCGTTCCAGGTGCAAAAGGTATCCATCAATGGCACTTTGCAGTATGGGGTACGGAAAAGGGGCCTCCTCGTTCGACTTCGTCGACTTCTGCAGTTCTCCTTCCCGTCAGGGGTACCGAAAGGGGCCTCCTCGCAGTTGTCCTTGCCGTCAGGTCCACGTCATGCAATTCTCAACTATTTCGCGTACGGGATAGTCGTCTTTGTCGTACGCGACATCGGCGTTTACCGAGTGGCATTGGCACAAAGCAGACCGTTGACGGGGTCACATGTCAAAAAAGTATCAACAATGTGTCGACTACGTGTCGACTACGTGTCGACCACGTGTATAGCGGTACACTCAGCGGTACACTAATTCTCGTGCCATTCTCGTGTCACAAAACTGGAACATCGAGTACCAGTATGGAAAGGCTTCAGACAGGAAGCCTTTCCAATACAAATTTGTGCAGTATCGATCGACTGAAGTCTGGTGAAATAATAATTGGAAAAGACGACCATCCGCCATGCGCGCATTTCGAGAATGGGAGTGCATCTCTTGAGGCCGTGTCGGAAAAGCTTTCTGAGGCCACTGATGGCACCAGTCTAGGCTGGATGTCCCTGTAGGATTTCCAGTGTAATGTGGTGAGAAAGAGAGCTCCGTTGAGTCCTTCTAGCTCAAATAAATCGTCCCCGGATGAAGAAATCAAATTTACCAAACAGCGAGGAAGCACGGCAACAGCAACTCTTACAAGGACTTGTCAGGTGTGATCAGCTGATTCGCCTGGCCGTGAGAATCACGGCATGCGTGACATCGCGCCTGAGTACTCATCTGAGCGAGAGTGAATCTGACGCCAGCGGCGCTGAGGTGAACGAACCAAAATTGTGATATTGTGGAACTGTTGCTGCTGGTGCATCGCCGATGGCGAGGTATTGGAGTTCAAGGACGGAATTAGAAGAATATATTCTTCACCAAGACGTAGTGCTTACCTGATTGTTTATCATAGGACTTCAGCTCCATCACGAACTTGGTATTCACTTCGTGCTGTGATTTTTGTGTTTCTTGTTCGCAATTGTATTTTCTCTCAACTTGAAGGGCTACCACGTGCCATACCCTTGCCTGGACATAGTCATATTTGTGTTTTCTGGAATCGTTCAGGCATACAGATTTTGAAAATATATATGTAGGACTCAGTATAGAGTCCATGCACTATATGATGTCCAGCACCCTATATAGAGTCCATTGGTCCAAAATCCACTATACAGAGTCCAGGAGTCCACTCAGTTTTGATCAGCTTCATCCTGCCGCGCAATCCCCTATAAGGAGTACACTTTTTCTACAAGTCCCCTATTCACGGTCCAGGAGTCCAGTTTATCCTGTCACGCCGTCCTGTGTGATGTGCCCGAAAGGGAACACATTTTTCAGTTTTGCTTGCCTCGTGGCAGCGCATTCCTTTCTTCACTTCAGCCATGGCTGCCAATTCTGCTGTGCAGTTGCTGACAGTAATCTGTCTCGAGCTAACCAAGGAGGATAAGGAGACGTTCAAAATCAAATCTGGAAAGCGTCTTGTGGTTCTCTGAAGACGTTTCATCAGTGCGCGGGATGAAAGCAGAAATTGCAGAACGAGAAAAGTTCAGCACAGTTCAAATCTGACGAGTCAGGTACACTGACGCTCTCTTTCGTTCGACGCCACAAGGATCCCCTGTTTGGCTGGCCATTGCTGCCAGTAAGACGTTTGAACGGTTTCATCAGAGCGAGGGATGAAAGCAGAAAGCGGAGAAAGAGAAAAGTTCAGCACAGTTGCAATCTGACGAGTCAGATACACTGACACTCTCTTTCGTTCGACGCCACAAGGATACCCCTGTTTGACTGGACAAGAGCTGCATGTACCACCGTGTCAAAAGGCTGTCCAACTACATGGCAGGACGATGACTGAGGTAAGGAAGCTTTTACTCGTTTCGATTGGTCTGCTGTTCTGTCGTTATGCTTGAATTTTTTTTCCATTTTCAAGGAGCGTATCGCGTTTGTTTGATGTTGCTTGAATGAATGCCCTAAAAGTAATCAACCACTTCGTAATAGTCCTCAAGGACTGCAAGGACTTTGCATCAATCGTATAATGACCGTCTAGCTATCATCAATTATTATTTTATTTCATGAGAAATGTATTTTTATCCCTGTGATAATTATGTGAACTCCACGACACTCTTCCTGTAGTATGATGTCAAATACAATGGGATCCACAAACGCAGTGCCAGTGTACTAGTAGTAGTAGGACTAGGAGGATTGCTTGTATGCCAATGACAAGAAAGCTTCAAGCTAATACTCGTATTCCCTGAAGTAACCGTTTTGATGTCACGAACATGACATTGTGTCAGTGAAACTGCCTCGTGACAACAAATCATTGCATTTCCATCTTGGGGAAGACTGACTGACCGCAACGCTGTACAGATTGTTCAAATCATCTCATTTCAATTTAGTTGCAGTGAAGTGAAACACTGTGTACACTACATGCATGTTGGTGTGTCTGTGCGTCTTGAGTGTGCACAAACGATCTTATTCCTCGTATTACTAATAGATTATTGTCCCCACCATCACCTGTTCACAGGTCTTTGAGTGGATTGATTTTCATTGAGCATCACATTCGTTGAGAACTTGGTAGTTGTGTGCTCCCATGCATCATTACGGTAATAAGCGTATCCTTGTGCTATCTATTTGTTGCAGGTGTGCTGATCTTCAGAAGCTTGCGGAACTGAGTGCTGCTGAACATTTGCATGGCCATGAGCAATGGTGAAGCTTGCTATTGCACTCTCAGCATGTGCTAGTATTATGCTGACCACTGCACTATGTTACTCTCTTACACTACTACGTGTATGTAAACGTGCGTGTACCCGTCCCCGTACGCATTCGTTTCGTATAATAATTTGTTATCCCTCTTGACTTTACATGTAAATGGGTGGACGTTTGCATGGCTGTTGGAGTTGCGTGTGTATTGTGTCTCTATTCTTTTCTTGGTGTTTTCTTGGCGTTGTATAAGTTTGTGTGTGTGTGTGTGTGTGCGTGCGCGCGCGCACAATAATTTGAAAACAAATAATTAATCCTGGGCTCTCCATTATTCTCTTTTGATTCTTGGTTTTTTCCTAGGTATTTTCTTGGCGGTGTGTGGGTGTGTGCATGTGTGTGTGCGTGCACAATAATTTGGCAACACTACATGATTGAGATATTGTAATTTGCAGCGTCTGCGAAGAGACCACTTGATTTGAGGATGGTGTTTGTAGGGTTTTCATGTAATGAAGTGGCTGCAGTGGCGCCTCAATACATATTTTTTTATCTTGAGAAGTGAATGATGTAAAGGATTAAAGGGAGAGGCCGTTTTCTGGTTAATATTCACTGCTTACAGCAGATCCTATGTCTATTTTCGAACTCGATAGGGGATGCCTAATTGGCTGGACTTTATACGTGTTGTCCACATAAAGACTCTTTATAGTTGATTTCAAAGTTTGGACTCCGTACAGTTGATTTTGGACCAATGGACTCTATATAGGGGTGAAGCCAATTGGCTGGACTCTATACAGGGAGTGATGTCCATCGAAACTTTGAGCTCACAGTTGATTCCAAGTTTGGACTCTGTACAGTGGATTTTGGACCAATGGACTCTATATAGGGGTTGGACATCATATAGGGGCTGGACGCTCTACTGAGTCCAACATATAGTTTACCCATACCTACAACTAACAGATCTTGAGTTATGGCTGATTGTTTGTACGCGTGTTTGCGGGACCACCCCTCACATACATTGAGTAAGACCCACAAAGGGTTAAAGGGTTAAAAAGGCCGAGCGAGACCCTCTCGGTGATCCTGCGCTGCTGCGAGGACTGCCAAACAAACTGCTTACAAAGGCAATAATATGGCAATACATGTACTTTCTATAACTGGCGCTACTTTGGCCCGGTTTTATAGTGTAGGTCTAGCGCCTATTCTACAGGCACTGCATCCAAACAGGCAAACTAACTGCTCTTTTGTGCGAACCGTCCACTTTTGGGAGGACCCCACGCGTCCTGCTTCACTGACGAGCGCGTGCATCGGTGGAATTATTTTCGTGACCTGGTTTGAGTCTTGAGCAGTTGAGGTGTTTGTTCAACTGATTACTTTGTTGTTTTATTTGTCTCTTGTTGCTAGCTCACGTCAGTCGGTTCCTGTGCCTGTGGCGTTGTTGGACGGGTTGACATCGGCCAGCTGTTGCAGGTTTCGCATAGTTCCGTAGTACAGACTGTACCGTAGTTTTGCACTTGCAGGTACGGTGTACGTGTCACAGGTGAACGCGCCAGATCCGTACAAATCCTCCATTCCTCAAATATTTTGATTTTGCCACATGCACACGTACTTGTTGGGACTTTTGATGAAACTATTGGTTCAGTCAAAATTGCCTGTCCAGCGAGACAGCAGCGATATGCCAGCGTGTGTTACCTCGGAATGGGCTACCCAAACTCCTGCTGAGGATATTCTGAGGCACCTGCAGGTGGACCATGGCAGTGGACTCAGCAGCGAGGAGGCCGCATCGCGGCGAAAATTGGTTGGAGCGAATGAATTCATCGAGGAGGACGAGGAGCCAATGTGGCAGAAGTATTTGGGCCAGTTCAAGGATCCCATGATTGCACTGCTACTGGCATCGGCAGCAATCAGTGTGCTTATGGGCCAATACGACGATGCATTGAGTATCACGGTGGTAAGTCTGGGACAACATTTGTTGGATGAATTTAAGTTTCAATGAACATTTTTGTGTCCTCAAATTTAGCATTTGGGAGAATTTAGCTAGCTGTATTTAATCGGTCTAATCAGCACTGTGGGGTGGTCTAAGACCATGGCTGGGGTTACATTGGAAATGCGTGGCCTGGCACAAGGGATACATTGGTTTAGTATAAAATACTGTTGATTCCCGAGCGTTGTCAAAGGCAGATGGTGTCATGTACATGTTGTGGTGTACCGTAGTAATGCACATAATAGTAGTAGTAGTATTTATTATTTTACTAGGGCAATCCCCACAGACTGTGAGTCTTTTTACAGGGTACCCTAGGTACGTGCGTGAAATAGAGCTGAATGAAGAAAGCCGTAAGTGCGTGAAATAGAGTAAAGAAAAAAGAAAACGGTGGCTGCATATATATAGGCGCACTCTCACTACGATATACGCTGTACGCTGATGATAAGATGTTTACTGCTTTCCGCATGCACGAGGTGAGCAAGTTCGCCAACATCCCCAGCAATTCAGTGTTGTTGCCGTTGCCAACACGGTAATGTAGTTACGTAGGGCGGCTGGCTAAATTGGGCGACGTCACGATATCTTGGCTGAGCGGATAGAGTTAGTTCTGTTAAATCCTACCTCGCTAGTTCGAATCCAGTAAGGTCAAATGGCCATATGGAAGCGGAGTACAGCATAGGTTTCCGTGTGCAGACAGTAAGTCCTGATCTGGGACATTGCCAAGAGGTAGATTGTGTCACACGAAGTGGAACAAAACGGCTAGTACTCCCATTGGCCGGTTCCCTGCGAATTATGCTGCTGCGCGATTGCTTTGAACAACCACTTGCCACTCACATTTTTTGCGCAAGTTCCGCATTGGCCTCGCATACCGTATTTCTCTGATTATAAGTCGCACCCCCATTTTCAGGTTTGAGCCATATTTTTTTATATATTCACTTCAGTAGTAAGTCATGCTCGATTGTAAGTCGCACCCCTTCTTTACCCTCGTTTTTTTTAGGTAAAAAGGTGCGACTTGTAATGGGGAAGTACGGTAATCCTTGAAATTAGAATTGTTGATCGCAAAGCAGAGAAATACAGTGCAATCACTGGCGCTTTTCGCTTTCAGTTGATGTCTACTAATGAAGCTGTGAGTTGCGGCTGGTAGGTCTACAGTGAAATGTGCACTTATGGCAAATGCTAGTGCCATCATGGTATATTTCCCACATAATCCTGCATCATCACTGCACAATCCTAATAGACAGTTTTTGGCCGCCACATTATGTGCATAATTTGATAGATTTGCCGGTGCCAATAACGGGGGATAAAACTGGGCCTACATCACCTGCGAGGGCATGTACTATACTCCAGCCCTGAGAACAAGAAGGCAACATGTGTGCTGTTGATGAATAGCATGTGATATGGCCATGGGTGATCGGCTAAGTTTAGCGGATAGCATGCATGCGTCTGCTACGAGTGTGCGACGTGCCGGATTAAAGTGGTCTGACTCAAGTTTTCATGTTGGCCTTTTATCTTTCCATACCATCCAGGCTATTGTCATTGTTGTAACAGTTGCGTTCATTCAGGTAAGACCATCTCCTCTCCGCGTCTCTCTCTCCGTCTTTCTCTGTCTGTCTGTCTGTCTGTCTCTCTCTCTCTCTCTCTCTCTCTCTCTCTCTCTCTCTCTCTCTCTCTCTCTCTCTCTCTCTCTCTCTCTCTCTCTCTCTCTCTCTCTCTCTCTCTCTCTCTCTCTCTCTCTCTCTCTCTCTCTCTCTCTCTCTCTCTCTCTCTCTCTCTCTCTCTCTCTCTCTCTCTCTCTCTCTCTCTCTCTTTCTCTGACTGCCCTACTGTTGGCATCACGACTGTTCTTACTGAGGTGCACAGTCTGGCTTATATTGTGTCTTGCTGGCCACGGCAGTTCCTGATTCACAGCCACATTCGCGTACAGTAGCTCTGCTCAGTAGTTCAGTAGTTAGGGTCCCTTTTGGCTGAGCTGACTGCACTGCATGGTTTGTTAGGTGTATGTGTGTGTGTGTGTGTGTGTGTGTGTGTGTGTGTGTGTGTGTGTGTGTGTGTGTGTGTGTGTGTGTGTGTGTGTGTGTGTGTGTGTGTGTGTGTGTGTCCCATATGGTGCAGTGGTATGTGCAGCGATTTCCAATCGATAGATTGCGGGTTCGATTCCCGACGATTATGGTCACACACGTCTTTCTTCTCTTTCTCAGACTCTTCCTGACTTTTCTTTCATTCTCCTGGGTGGTTACCAACAGCCAGTGCATGCCGGAGTATGTGGTGTGATGTGTGTGCGGGAAAAAAAAAAAAAAAAAAAGAAAAAGAAAGGAAAAGACCAAAAATAGGGATTCACTGGCCAGAAAATGTCACTCCAAATAGCTGTATGGTGTAGACCAGGCTGAATAGTGACGGTCAATTCTTCAGCCTTGCAAGCTGTTGAATGGTGTAATCCCAGCACAAGTTGCTATGGCTTCTGCCGTAGCATTGCTATCATCGCCTCCGGCGATGGGCATCAAAGGTCAAGGTCAAGGTGTGTGTGTATGTGTGTGTGTAGTGTGTAGTGTGTAGTGTGTAGTGTGTAGTGTGTAGTGTGTGGCAATGACTGGATGGCTGACACTCTTGTGGTGTGTCTTTGGGTATACAGGAATACCGCTCTGAGCAATCCCTCAACGAACTGAAGAAGTTGCTCCCGCCACACTGTCAATGGTCAGTTGATTGCATTGGCTTAACTTGACCTATCCTTGTGTATGTGTGTGCGTGTGTGCGTGTGTGTGTGTGTGTGTGTGTGTGTGTGTGTGTGCGCACGCGCACGTGCGTGTGTGCATGCACCGTGTGTGGCTCTAGTTGTGCCATTGTTGAAAGTAGCTGGTTTGTAGCAAGTTCCTGACTGCACTGTGGGACCAAGAAATATCTCCTTAGGATACTGTGCCAAAACTCACTATTAGAAGGTTCACTTGCATAGTGTGCATCATTTATATATTATTTTTTCAAGCAGGCTTGATGAGTTGATGGTATGTGGCAGTGCTGATGGAAGGACACTTTTGCATGAGATAACCGTTATTGAACTGGTGGAGACATCCAGTAGGTACAAGCTTGCTGAAAGACTACTTCACCCCTTTGCAAGCCAGCGGATATTTCTGTAGATTTACCAGTGCCGCTTGTGATGAGAGTTCCACCCCCTGCTTTCTATCACCCGCTAGCCAGCTGGTGACTTCATCGACCACTGTGATATTGACGATGCCATCCTCTTGCAATTATTGACCCTGCCTAAAGGAAAGGCTATGTTTGAGATGTGTGGGTAACTAAGCGAGGAGTATGTACAACAATTGCACCATACATCTGCGCGGCTTGGAGAAGAGCTTAGCAGAACGAAAGCGACGACTGTAATTGCAGGGGTCAATAAGAGGAAATGCATCCGCTCCGCAGTAGATGAGCTGAAGAGCAATTCCAGACTAGGTATTCTTCCAAGAAACTATCTTACGAGTAGCATGCTGGTGTAGTTACCATGTCTGCTCTACATGTATCCGATGTAGCCTGTCGTGTTTGATGCATTTGTATTCCAGTTATCGCGATGCTGTGCTGCAAGACTTTGAAGCACGTCTTTTGGTGCCGGGTGACATCATCTCACTGACTGTTGGTGACCGAGTGCCTGCAGATGTCCGATTACTCGAGGTCAGTAATCATTTTCACCTGTGGTAAATTTAGTCTCAATGCAAACAGTCAGGGTTCTTCTTTTTTGTTCTTTTTCAACTCTTCTTTTTCCAACTCATTTGATAGAGCGTGTTAAAAAGTTTTTCTCCTGCAGCCTGCGCTTGATCAGCCAACATATCCCGGAGTATCTGACTAATAGAGCATTTGCACGCTTCTATTTGCCAAGTACGTCTGGTCACTTTCCGGTCGGGCAGCACGTTCTTCAGATACGTACGCTGATATATCCGCTGTGTGCCCTACGCTCGTAATAGATATCCCAGCACGTACTTGTAAATCTCTGGCGTTCCAGAATGGCTGCTGTTGCATGTGGCAGCCCAGAACACCATCTCACGTGCTGTCTGCAATATACGTCTGACTCAGTCATGCTTCCATCTGCTGTGCTTATGCCAGACTGTCGACTTTCAGGTGGACGAGTCCAGTTTTACCGGCGAAACGGAGCCAGCTCGGAAACTTGCGTCGACTGTGCAGTCAAGCGATGCGCATACTGTCTCGAACCGCACCAACATGGTCTTCATGGGTACCTTGACCTGCAGCGGCCATGCCAAGGTGCGTCTGTGCTTGTCCACGTGTGTGTGTCTTACTGCTGTTGAATCTGTCTATCTATCCATCTCCCTGTGTGTTCTTCCGTATGGCCGTCTTTCTGTGTGTTTTTTTTGGGGTCCATGATTTGTGAACTACTAGGTGTTTGTGTTCCTGATGATAAGTGCATGCCATCGTGTTTGTGTTTGATATCTGAAGTAGAGTATCATGTGACTGTGAGTACAGTACTGCAGCCCGGTGCTGTGCACAATGCACATAGAAGCATTGCATGAGCACCCTCACAGTACGTACACACTGTTCACGGCAATTGGTCATGTCCTTCCGGGATTACTTGGGCAGTACTTTTATTATTTGCTCGTGTGTGTGTCTTTAACTTACTTTGGCACTTCATTGTCTGTCCCCATGTTGATGTTGATGTGCTGCACGTCGCTATCTATGCAGGGAGTTGTCACAGCTACGGGTACGTACACGGAGTTTGGCGAGGTGTTCAAGCTCATGCAGAAAGAGGAGGTGAGTGTGCCGTCTGCAAATAAAGATCACCTGTCCGCAAAGACCACCTGTCCGCAAAGACCACCTGTCTGCAAAGACCACCTGTCCGCAACCACCTGTCTGCAAAGACCACCTGTCTGCAAAGACCACCTGTCTGCAAGACCACCTGTGTACAGAGACTGATTTTCTATGCACCATGAGATGGTTGGTGAGCAAAGGTTTGGCCACCGTACATTTGCAAAGTAGTTCCCTCCCCCTAGGCCCCTAAAATAACAGAATCCGTCGCTGATCCAGCACCAGGCGCACTGTAAACAAGTATGCATGTACTAACACTTTGACTGCACTGGATTTCCAGTGTTTTACCTAAGGCTGATTATTATTTCATTGACCAGTACTATAGAGGGGCTGGGTTACGAACCTACTGTTGTGGCCAAAGAAATCCGACCTTTGAGGTGAAAACAGCACCAAGGCTCATGCGCCCCTCGAATGCGGTTTTGGATCATGCATAATGTATTTATTGGAGATGCTGTGCTGCTGCTTTTACCTCGTGGATCTGATTTCTTTGGCCATGACTGTAGTTCTCCATTTCTGGTGTGACCAGCAATATGATCTCTTTATCTCTCCTTGGTACTGGTCTGCTGCTGCTGCTGCTGCTGGTGGTGGTGGTGCTGGTGGTGGTGCTGGTGCTGGTGGTGCTGGCGGTGCTGGTGGTGCTGGTGGTGCTGGTGCTGGTGCTGGTGGTGCTGGTGGTGCTGGTGGTGCTGGTGGTGCTGGTGGTGCTGGTGCTGGTGGTGCTGGTGCTGGTGGTGCTGGTGCTGGTGTTGGTGCTGGTGCTGGTGGTGGTGGTACTTTAACTTATAATTATAGTCTATTGTGCTGACTTTGGTGGTATTGCTGCTGTTGTCTACAGGCACCACGGACACCGCTTCAGAAGAGCATGGGCAGGCTCAGCAAGCAACTTGCATTCATCTCTCTCGGTGTTATTGGTATGTGCAGATAGAGACTGGCTAGAGTGTCCATAAACCGTGTGTGTACTTTATGACTTTTGGTGTAACTTGTTGTCTTTGATTGTACATTCTCCAATTCTCCCGGCCCTGACCGCTAGTCGCTTGCCATTCTCTTTTGATTCGCATTTCACTGGCCACATAGTCGCATGCTACCAGGAGAGACCACAAGAGGTACTCCAAGCCTCGGTCCCCTGTGCGTACGTGGACCAACCCTAAGTTGTTTGGTTATGCAGTGTGTGTTTTGGTTCTGTGTTGGCATAGCCGTGAGCTATCTGATTGCCGTAGTAGGATCCATCGTATGCCTACTGACATGTTCATTATTCCGTTGCGACTAACTATGGTCACTGTGACCTCGCACCCAGGTGCTCTACACATACTGCAATGGATTTGTGCTCCCTTTTGTCTGTTGTTGCGGCTCTGTAGGGGTCATTCTGTTCATTGGCTGGGTTGTGGAACGGAGACATCTCCTGGAAATGTTCACCATAGCTGTCAGGTAATTCTGCACCCATTGTCGAGCATGTCGTCTTTGCCAGCTTGAGTGCATCCATAAATAAAAATAGATACATAAATTTTCCAGCTGGCGCGAGACTAAATGTCCGCCTCCCTAGGAGCACTATCACCCTCCTTGATCGAGGAGCCGCCAGTTGCAGCATTTCTTTGTTGTCCTCATGTTGATCCAATCATGTTGAAACTCTGTAACTGTTTTTGCAGCTCCTATTCTTGACGTTGGAGCAGCTAGTCTGCATGTAGTTAATGTATTGAACTGGATTTCAACGGGCTTGTTCTGTGGCAGTTCTGCTTGCGGCTGGTACATGTATGGCAGCTACTGCTAAAGCCTTGTGTGATATTCCTGAGCATGGGTCATGCGCAGCGGTGTACTGTTTGCTATTATGCGTGCCTGTGTGTGCCTGTGTGTGTGTGTGTGTGTGTGTGTGTGTGTGTGTGTGTGTGTGTGTGTGTGTGTGTGTGTGTGTGTGTGTGTGTGTGTGTGTGTGTGTGTGTGTGTGTGTGTGTGTGTGTGTGTGTGTGTGTGTGTGTGTGTGTGTGTGTGTGTGTGTGTGTGTGTGTGTGTGTGTGTGTGTGTGTGTGTGTGTGTGTGTGTGTGTGTGTGTGTGTGTGTGTGTGTGTGTGTGTGTGTGTGTGTGTGTGTGTGTGTGTGTGTGTGTGTGTGTGTGTGTGTGTGTGTGTGTGTGTGTGTGTGTGTGTGTGTGTGTGTGTGTGTGTGTGTGTGTGTGTGTGTGTGTGTGTGTGTGTGTGTGTGTGTGTGTGTGTGTGTGTGTGTGTGTGTGTGTGTGTGTGTGTGTGTGTGTGTGTGTGTGTGTGTGTGTGTGTGTGTGTGTGTGTGTGCGTGCGTGCGTGTGTGTGAGTTGTCACTGTTGTGCATCTGTATGCCTGTGTGTCTGTCTGTCTGTGCCCTTGGGTATCTGTGTATGTGCCTGGATCATTCCGCCGTGCAGTCTTGCGGTGGCAGCCATTCCCGAAGGTCTTCCCATTGTAGTCACGGTGACACTGGCGCTGGGCTCCATCCGTGTGTCCAAGCGTAATGCCATAGTGAAGAAGCTACCCACCGTCGAGTCCTTAGGTGAGTATTGATATCTGCACTACAGTAGTGCATGTCATCTGTAAACACTGGGACACAGCTATGCGTTTAGCATCAGATCTCGAGGTGTGGCTCTCATATCGGTAGTCGGCTAGCTCTGCGAGAGATAATGTGCTCTGTTTAACACTTATGCTGTCTCTGGTCCCATTTATTTTGGTGTTGACCTCAGGATGTGCGAATGTGATCTGCTCGGACAAGACGGGCACTCTGACAGAGAATGTTATGACGGTTACGGATATCTACACCGCATCAGGGGAGCTCTACAAGGTACAGGGACAGCAGCTTATACAATAATGATAGATAAGATTGAGTGGTGCATCTACAGCACATGATAGCGTTTTGTCATTGGCATCGCTTTCAATGAGTCCTGGAAGCCGCAATCCGAGACGGTAGACCAATTCTGTGTCAGCGCACTTCTGCCATAAGCTTGCCGCTCCTTCATGTCAAATAATTACATAACCAATTTACCTTCCTAAGGTCCTATGCAGATCTCTACACTCTGGTTTCTGTACTCTTGTTTACATCACTGCATTTGTCTCGTGTTGTTACAAGTACTCGCACCTGCTCCGTTTGCACATGCTGCCTGGCATTTCCCGTGACTTGTGTTTGGACGTGTGTGTGTGTGTATGTGTGTGTGCACGTGTGTATGTGGGTGTGCCTCTCTCTCTCTCTCTCACTATCTCTCTCTCTCTCTCTCTCTCTCTCTCTCTCTCTCTCTCTCTCTCTCACTCTCTCTCTCTCTCTCTCTCTCTTCTACTGCCTGTATCAGGTGGCAGGGAATGGCTACAGTGCTGAGGGTGACGTCACGCTGAATGGCGAATGTGTTCAGGTTTCCAACCAACATGCTCTGCATCGATTAGTCGAGGTGCGTACTCACCTGCCGTACCTTGTACTTTGCACCGCATGATAGCACAAGCCTGTACCGCAACTCCACACATCACAGCACAAGCCGAGAATACTCAGCAGCGTTACATGCAAGCAAGAACTCTTTAGAAAATGTTGTTGCTTTGCATGGTAGAAATTCACAGACCCTTACCAGTTTGTAGTGATTGATGCAGCCAACTACGGGTGCGTTCTTATATTCTGTAGCTTCTAGGAGAAGAAGAAAAGAGAAGTCGAAGAAACTGGGATTATTCAAGAATGGGTCTCGAAGAATTTGGAGTTATTTTGCACATGTTAAGCAAATTGAAGCGCCAAAGGGGCCGCGATCTTGAGTGATGAATGTAGTACTGAAGTATGCACGTGTGCGTATGCGAAAAGGGAAATGCGTACACTTATGATGAACACGTGGCTTTTAGTCGTAGTTCACATGCGCTGATCTCAAATCGCGGGAATCTCCAAGTTTCCACCACCTCTGAAGCTTGGAGAGCTTGGAGAGCTTTGGAGAGCCTCCTAAAAGTCGGAGAGGATATAAGAACAGCTCTCGAACTTTTCGGAGAGTCTCCAACTTTTCCGAGAGGATTTAAGAACGCACCCTAAGTTCTTGCCAGACTCGTGCTCCAGAATGACATCTGACTTAACCCATGATGCCATACTTCCAGTGACCTTTACCACACTGGTCATATACTTTAACCCTCATGGCTGAACTGGTTTATATGATCCCACCACCACCTTGAGCCAGGGCCAAGCCTGTATGAGAAAAGGCTACAGCAGTGAGATTAGTGATCGGCGACAATAGAAGTTGCCCAGTCTGATCTGATGTTACCTGTCCATGTGCTGTCGCCATGCATGTCTTATTGCCTAACTCCACAGTCCTACTGTCATGTTCGTGCATTCCTCAGGCTGGGTGTGTTTGCTCCAACGCTTCTGTCACTAATGGTACTCTTGTCGGCCAAGCAACGGAAGGAGCAATCGTCACTGTGGCCTATAAGGTAGGTGTGGAATTTGTGTGCGCATGACACTGTCAAGTGCTGGTCTAGAGGTGGTTTAGAATGCACTTTCATGTTTCGGTGAATGGAATTGTTGTCAGCTAGCTCCATTTTGTTCCTGAGTTTTTATATTGCTGTGACTCGTTCTTTGGAAGTACATATCTTTACACATTCAAGGAGTGGAGTTCTTGGTGATGTGTATGCGTGTGTGTGCTTGCGCTTGGGCGTGCGCATGCATGTGTGCTTGTGTGTGTGTGTGTGTGTGTGTGTGTGTGTGTTTGTGTGTGTGTGTAAGTCACCTCAATGTTATGTTATAACTTATGTATATGCTCACGCTTATGTGTTTCTATCATCTCTCTCTCTCACTCACCCTCTCTCTCTCTCTCTCTCTCTCTCTCTCTCTCTCTCTCTCTCTCTCTCTCTCTCTCTCTCTCTCTCTTTCTTTCTTTCTCTCTCTCTTTGTGCCCTCCACAGCTTGGTTTGAACAACCCACGAGACGACTATATTCGCCTCGAGGAGATACCGTTTAGCTCTGACAAGAAATGGATGGCGGTAGCATGCCAGTCAAAACAAGGTGTCCAGGGTCAAGCTGTAAGAGTGCTGCTCTTGTTTACATTCTGTTTATGACACTACTACCTGTACATGTACCAGGCATTGACCCAGGACCTCTGATCGAGCATAGACATGCCAGCTGCAAGCAGAGATAATAGCACCCCCCCCCGGAACCTCTTGCTACTGACGAGTAGCAAACCCCTTACTGTTGTGCCAGAGAATTTGAAGCTTGTATTCACTAGAAGTAGCGCTGTGTGCACTTGAGCAATAATTTGTTCATGTCGTTTGACTACAATATAGAGAAGTGACAGGTCAGCCAGGCTTGCTTACCCGCGCTCTCAACGTGTTGAGTTTCAGTGATGCAAAGCAGCATGTCTCTCTCACATCATCATCAGCTTCTTTGCACCTGGTTTGACAATGTTGACAGTTTGAAATGCCAGTAGATATACTCGAGTACCAGTTCATCTACATGGGTGTTGTCTTGTGTGCTGCTAGGATACTGACAGTCCTGATATTATGCTCCCATTTCTCTTGTTTTTCTCAGGAAGTACAGTACTTTGTCAAAGGCAGTGTGGAAAGTGTTCTCACACGATGCCAGCAATATCAATCCCTGGCAGCTGGCTCCAGAACCGAGGCCGTCCTTGCTGCTGACCGTGAGCGATTTCTCAATAGTGAAAATCAGCTTGCCTCCCGCGGCCTCCGTGGTAAGGAATCAGTAGATCAAGGGCAGATCAATCACTCCTGTATCGTAGGGTTCTTCTGTGTGTGTGTGTGTGTGTGTGTGTGTGTGTGTGTGTGTGTGTGTGTGTGTGTGTGTGTGTGTGTGTGTGTGTGTGTGTGTGTGTGTGTGTGTGTGTGTGTGTGTGTGTGTGTGTGAGAGAGAGAGAGAGAGAGAGAGAGAGAGAGAGAGAGAGAGAGAGAGAGAGAGAGAGAGAGAGAGAGAGAGAGAGAGAGAGAGAGAGAGAGAGAGAGAGAGAGAGAGAGAGGCATGGCATGGAGGGAGAGATCTCTTCTTGCACAACAGCTTACTGTATTCCTGAAAACATAAGTAAATTTCCATCTGCGTTGCCGAGGGAACTCAAGACGGCCGCTTACACCCGCACCAACTCAGAGACAGATGCAGCGCGGGAGTGTGCAAAACTGCCTGCGAGCGGTTTTCCAACCGTGTGCCAAACACATTCAACTAGGAACTTGTGGCCAAACGCAATGGATGTGGCTAATGGCGTTATCGGCACTTGCACCAGTGGCTGTGAGACGTATCTCCTTATCTCCTCAGGCCATTATTGTGTTAGTACTGCACGTATTGTGCACATGGTGGTGATTGCTTTCATTCTTTCTCATTTTTTTCTTCCCAGTTTTGGCTGTAGCAACTGGTCCCAGCATGAAACAGTTAGTGTTCCTTGGTCTCATAGCTATGCATGATCCACCACGACTTGGCGTACCAAAAGCAATACGAAGCCTGCGCAGTGGCGGTGTAGCGGTGAAAATGGTAACGGGAGATTCCAAGGCAACAGCCATTGCCATTGGTAAGTCCTGGATCTGGTGCTGGAGTTGTTGTTTTGGGTTCCGTTTCTTCTATAGATCCTGCTCTTGAATGTAGTTGATCTTGTGCATGATGAGTGTGCGTTCTGTGTTTCCATTTTTGTTGTTTTCAGTAATTCGCCAAGTGTGTAGTGTTGACCTGTAGTTGGTCATTTTCGTCTGGTGTGCTACATCCTGTGCACACCCAGGAGACTTCCTTTGATAGGCATCCATTTGCCTCTGGAGAATCCTTGAAAATATAATGTCAATATCACTGAGGCATGGCTCTACATGTACACTGAGTGACTCTTGTCCTCTTTTGTTTTCTTTCCGAATATCTCACTTAGTTTCACACATGTGTTGTGCACCATAGCTGTTGCTGATGCACCCACACAAAGTCCATTCTTATGTCAAAGTTACTAGCATCTTTTTTGGCCATCGATGATGAATGTCAGATTGGTTGAAGTTTGGTCTTTTCTGTGGAATTTGGCTCTAGTGAGGTTTTGCAGGAGAGGTTTTACTTTGGTTGAACATTTTGGAGGGGTTATAAATGTTAAAAAGGAGAAGGACAAAATGATACGAGTTATGACTAACTGTCCACCAACGTAACCAAATCATATACTGGCAGGTTTGTGCCTTCTTGTCGCACTCGCCGACTCTATATGATCTGGTTACGTTGGTTGACAGTTAGTCATATCTCGTTCCATTTTTGTCCTTCTCCTTTTTATCCATGATTACATTGGCTCACCGTCCAAGTTTATAAATGTTCTCTGCGTATCCAGGTTGTTGCTGCGTTGGGCGTTCAACATTTTGCTAAAGTTGTGTTGTTTTACCCTTGTGTTATTTCTCATCTGCTTGATGATGCCAGGTCATCTTTTGGATATGAGCGGTGAAGCAATGTCGGGTGATGAACTTGAAATGTTGACTACATCCGTTGCTGATCAGTCTCTCTTGCAAAGAATAAGAGTGGTAAGTTGCTACAAACTGCTAGTACACAGAGCACTTGATACACGCTGGGAAGAGCATCCTAACACTAATGGCAGAGCGAGGTTTGGTTGCAAAAGCGATCCTCGGGCAACAACATTAGCTGTAATAGGTGATTCACATGACGGTCTAATCCACGTTTGTCAGGTGTCCGCTGGAAGTGAAACGTGAGTCCGCTGTTCACACAGCCGTGGGTGTCGACCATAGCTCCCGTGAGTATACGACGGTTACTGTGGTGATACGGAATGAGTAGCGTTCTCATCAAACCCGTACCCGAAGGCAAAGGGCCGGACAAACACGGTTCAAGACTACCGTACTCTCATACGATAGTACGACCTCTCTGGCTCATATCTGTTGAAGTGCCCGCAGATGAATGCATCCGCAGGCAAAATGCTCCTCAGCGACCTGGACACTTTTGATTCCATCGGACAAATTTTGGTCGCGTGCCGGACAATCTCCATGGTGATTTCCCTGTAAACGTGGATTTGCCCATCGTTTGAATCGCCCATAACTGGTAACCGTAGGTGACATAAGCATTCTTGTCACTGTCGAATTTGTAAGCTAGAAGTCCAACTCAACCCTCTATGCCTTTCTGTTGTGTATTTAAAAAAATGTTCATTTATCACTCCCCCCTCACGTAACCCCGATCGTCCTCATGTACTCTCACACAATAAGCACTCAACAGTTTGGGGATGTCGTGCTTCTTGTATTATGCCAAGCATGACACGCTGAGTCCAGCTTGACTCAGCCGAGTCCTTACCTACTATTTACTGCTCTAACATGAAGCCGTGCCTCCGAGCAGGAAAAGAGAAGAAGCAAGAAAGAAAAAAATAATAACCTGGCTTTCTGCAAGCTGCAACAGTAAGAAGTGCCGGTTGTGTAAGGCCACTCGACCGTGAGGCCTTCCGGATGGTGCTGCACCTCCAGCAGGCATCTTTCCCTGCTACTACGCCTACACATACCTGTATACGGTACACCTACCGAGCTGCCTGCCCCAGAAGGCTTCCCTGATGTAACCCGGGTTTCGGCCCAAGCGCCTGTGTCGCTTCCGTGATCCGAATGCGCATGCGACCTTGCAGGTCGCGCGCCAGGCTGCCGCGTACGCGACCAGCCTGGGGGTGACGATGTCGCCTTGAGCGCTTGTCGTAGCTGGGATCCCGTAGGCGGCACACAGGGGTGCCAAATATGTCGCTGGCCCAGGGCCAGCAGGGCGCCCAGCTCAGGTCGCACGCGGCATGCGGCCCGAGCTGAGCGCGGTGACGGTTGGTGATAACTACAGTTTCCTCCTCCGGAAACTTCCATTTGTGCACGATAGTCGTTTCTTCATTAGCATGGTCACAGATGTCTCACTCGCACAAGTATATGTGTGTGTGTGTGTGTGTGTGTGTGTGTGTGTGTGTGTGTGTGTGTGTGTGTGTGTGTGTGTGTGTGTGCACATAGCATTATGTGAGTTACTGTCCACCATATTTGCACTCTAACCAATGTGATGTGTGCTGCTCGTTTCCTCCTCAGTCGGATATCTTCTACCGCGTGTCGCCAAGGCACAAAGTTCTTATCGTCAAGGTATGGGTTGGTGTAGTTATGTTCTCATGTACAGCCTGTGTGCCTAGCTCCGATTTGGACAGCTTTTTTTATTTTCTTTACGGGGAAGGTCAACCCATGTTTGTCTTGTGCAGGGAAAATGACCCTCAAACATTGGGGACAGTCATCTGTCATGAAGTTCGGTGCTTTTTTTCATTTTCTTTTGGGGGCAAATGCAAATGTCCCGGCCTCCTCTTCTTGGCAATAGTAATAGTCTACAAACTAAAAAGTGAAATTAACTTTTAGTTTTTAGTCTTTTAGACACGTTTGAGTATGGCATACAGCCTGTGTATATACAGCCTGTGGATACAGCCCGTATAGAGACTACCGTGTTTTGTGACAATTCTCCGCATCACAAAGAAACGTGTTGTGCTCCCCATTAGTCAAGATTTTTAAAGTGTTTATTGTGTGTGTGTGTGTTTGTGTGTACACGCCTGCTCGCCAATGCTCCCGTGCATTGTTGCACTGTTGTTGCAGGCTTTGCAAGATCAAGGCAATATTGTAGCTATGACCGGTGATGGTGTTAACGACGCCGTTGCATTGAAGACCGCTGATATCGGTGTGGCCATGGGAAAAACCGGCACCGATGTCAGCAAAGAGGCTGCCGACGTCATTTTAGTCAATGACGACTTTGGCACGATTCTGTAAGTAACAGTGCTGCTGCTGTTGTGTCAGCTCAGATCTGTCAGTAGTCATTTAGTTTAGCAGATCATTTTCTTTGAATGTCTTGAGAAGTGCAGGTATGGGCAGTATGCTTGACCTGGCAACGAGTTTCCTCCTTTCCGGTCTTGTGTGTTTTTTGAATGAAGGGCTGCCATTGAGGAGGGTAAGAGTATCTTCTACAACATCAAGAACTTTGTTCGCTTTCAGCTAAGCACGTGAGTAAAGAGCACCCACACACTCGCATGTACAGTTAAGCCAATACGTAATGTTGCGTGGGGTGTGTTAGTTTTCCTCTGTAGGTACCAGTGTTGGTGTAACCTACTGAGTACTGACTTTTAAAAGAAGTTTTTTTTTCTTCTTCACCAAAACCATCAGCTCATCTAGGCTGAAGTCAGTATAAATGGCACACGCTGAAGAGGTGTTTGTGTGGCTTGATTCTACCAACATTGGCGACTATAATCCGTAGAGCATCTTCTTCCGGTGCGCTTGGCATGGTTGACACGAGCATACTCCTTTGTGTTTTGTTCTGTGAGAATTCTGAAGTGTTTTCTCTTTCATCTTGTGTGTGTGTGTGTGTGTGTGTGTGTGTGTGTGTGTGTGTGTGTGTGTGTGTGTGTGTGTGTGTGTGTGTGTGTGTGTGTGTGTGTGTGTGTGTGTGCACAGGAGTATAGCAGCACTGTCGCTGATTGCTATATCAACATTGTTCAGTCTGCCCAGCCCGCTCAATGCCATGCAGATACTATGGATTAACATTATCATGGACGGTCCACCAGCTCAGAGGTCAGCTCCTGCTGCTGCTGCTGCTGCTGCTGCTGTTTGCACTGATGCTGCATGTTCTTGAACACTCCGCTTTAGCGTGGGCTGTGTTGCTCTGCACTTGGTATGCTGCTTGATATCGCCTTTGCTGTCTTTTCAGTTCTCCTCTAACAGTACTGTAGCTACAGAGAGCATGCTCGACTCAAGTTGATTGTACTGTTCGTCTCCTCTCTCAATGGGCAGTTTTACCGGCAGCAACGGTGATATGGGTTCTTCTTTCCCCTTGGTTTTGTCCTCGTGCAGTCTTGGCGTTGAGCCTGTTGATCGTGACGTGACAAGACGGCCGCCACGCAAGATCTCGCAGGGCATGATCACACCTCTGCTGGCAGCGCGTGTAGTAATGTCAGCTCTCTGCATCGTGCTGGGTACATTCTGGATCTTCTGGAGAGAGGTTAGTAGCTGGCCATTGTCCACAGTGCATGCATGTGGGTGAGTGTGCGTGTGTGCGTACAGTGTACGTGTTTGTGTGTTTGTGTGTGTTGTGTGTGTGTGTGTGTGTGTGCGTGTGTGTGCGTGGGTGTTGGTCCTGCATGTAGTCTTCTAATTGACATGATACTACTTGTACCCGGGCACAGGTCGGCTGGCTCATGACACTAGGTTATTCAACAGGTTTGGTTGCAAAACAGTCTGCTACATGTACTAGTACTGGGTACTGTGGAATGTGTGTGGAGCCTAGAAAGCCTGGAAAAGTCCAACAACTTTGAATGTACCCGGGCTACCTTTCTTTAACGTGGTGTGAGCCATGGCGGATGGTAGCCACTTCCATTTGTTGTGGTGGGCGTTAGTCGATGTACTAGATTGTAAACATCCCGAAGTTCATCCTGATGGTCTAGCAAATCCACATTGCTGCTCAATGAAATCCGATCACGCAAGTTAAATTCGCACCCCTGAACCAGTTCACCGGTCTACGGCTGCACAGTGCCCGGCGTGGTGTGGCATGGCATTGGCTGGCTTGATCGGATTTCACTGAGCACCACTGTACATGCTACAGTACAATTCTAGTAGTGTATGCTGATGCTGGTTACTGTCCCACCCTATGACATGTGCAGCATTGCTTCTGGCGTGTATTCTCTCTGTGCTTCACAGATGAGTATTGACAATAAGGTGACCGCACGGGACACAACCATGACTTTCACTTGCTTTGTGTTCTTCGACATGTTCAACGCGCTGAGTTCACGCTCTGAGGTGAGATTGGGCCATTTGTGTACTCTGTGTGTGTGTGGGGGGGGGGGGGGGGGGGGTATCTTTGTGCCTCTGTGTGTCTGTATTATGTATGCATGTGTCTGGCTGTGTGTCTGGTGTATCCTGTACTGCCTTATAACATTTAGTATTGTCCTATCTTCATGTGTGCCGTGGTATTGCTTATACACCCAAGCTTCAAGTCTCAAGAAAAGAACAGGCCCCTCACAATCAACATTTTGGCTACTCTCCTTTGCGCTGTTGCTTTCACCTCACTACTGTATATAGTTCATTGTGCTTGGTCAGTTTCTCTTTGCCTGTACTCCACCTGATGAGAAGGCAATGAAAGTACTACTGTAGAGGAGGAGCTTTGAGTATGTGGATTGTGAGGAGCCTGAAGCTTGTTCTTTTCTTGGGTTTTATTGTATTTTGTTTCTGAGTCTCAACTTTTGGTTTTCTTTTTTTGTTTTATGTGTGTCACCGCTTCTAGTTCAAATCTGTGCTCCAGCTGGGCTTGTTCAGCAACCGTGCGTTTGTAATAGCGGTGGGTGGCTCGCTGATCGGTCAGATGCTAGTGGTGTACTTTCCGCCGCTGCAGAGAGTGTTCATCACTGAAGCACTCGGTGCCCATGACCTGCTCCTGCTGGTGGCCTTGTCCTCCACTGTCCTCATCTGCGATGAAGTTCTGAAGTTGTACCGTCGCCACTACGGCCTAGTGAATAGCTACCAGCCAGTAGAGAATATGCCCGTCACCAGGATGTAAGCACTACTACTAGTAGTTAGTAGCCCTACTCAGTACTCTAGTCTAGTACTCACTAGTAGGAGCATTAGCTGTGTGCACTGTGGCTGTGGTGGACTAGCATTAGCAGCCGGTTAGTGTCCTGGACTGACGCTGACGTGCATGTGCGTCTGCCGGAGCTGGCGCAGTCAAGGTGCTTGGCCCAAGTAGTGTTGTGATTGGGTTGATAGACGCACACCAGCTCCCCCAAGTGTGGGCAAGCGCACGCACGCGGCGTGTGCACACACACACTGCAGCATGGAACAATACTTGTAATGTGCACGTTGATTCTCTCTACAAACCAGTGTTGGTTGTGGGTTCTCTCTGTTACGGTGGATTACCTCAAGCATGTGTTGCACAGCGCCACTCTCCATGATCTCCTGCTGCCGGAGCCGGTGGACTCTTATTCGCAGGCTGCTGCTGCTGCTGCTGTTGTATTTAGCCTACAGAATTAACGTTACATTGAGCAGTCCCCATGGCATGGGCATTACATCAGTTTTGCCTTCGCTCAGCAGGATTCTTTTGGTATTTTACTGCCTTTCTGAGCTCGGTAGCTGCCTATCATCTTGAGTCACGATTGGATTGGCATGTGTAGAGAACCGTTTCATGTCTGCATATTTTGTCAGCATATAATGACCCTTTCCAGACCCCCATATATTTTACATTATTCAGAGTGATTATTATTATTCATGAACCATATGTGGTGTTTTACTAGTTTACCCACTGACTGACATATTCTGAAAACGCTAATAACGACGACCCTGTCTTTTCTGTATGTGTATGACGATATCTACTTCCATCCTTTTGTATGGATTTTGAACTCTTGCAGTAGTGCTGTTTTACAGTAGTAGGTTTGAAACCTTTTTTAGTGAGGACATTGAGACGTCTGTATTCTTTCTTAGCCTTTCCTCCTAGTTTTAGTCCTAACTAACATGCTGTGTTCACCCGTTGCGCCGCCTGCTGCTGTCCGCGGAAGTCTTCACATGCGTCTTCTCTCCCCCGTGCTTCTTTTTAAACCTTTTTAGGCCTGGCCCTGCTGTGAACATCTCCTATTGACATTGAGCTTGAAGTATTGAGTGTTGTGTTTCCGCTACTTTACGACCACCACCACCACACAAAACAACAACAGCAACAGCATACTTGCCGAGTGGAAAAATGTGGCTGTTGATGGCTGCATGCCACACAGTAGCATGCTGCTACAGTAACCGATACAGGGGTGACTGAGGGCATTACTATTGAAACCGGTTTTCAAACCAGGGAGTAGTAGTTAGCGCTCCCTGGTTTGAACCTACAGAAAAACGATCCTTATCTGCAATGGCATGCTATCTGGTGGTAATAATTACTTACTTCAAGTATGACATGGTGTGGCTGGCTAGATTAATAGGTATGGCAAGTCATCATTACATTGCATGGACACAACAAGGCAGTGCTTACCCTGTCTGCTGCCATGGTTACAGTTGTGAGCTGCTTTTGTTCCTTTCCTGGCTTACTATCATTTTCATCAGCACACTTTTCGGAGCATCATCAACACCGGAGTAGCATACTCTAAAATTAATGCAACTGGGCGATTGACATGTACTGGATGCATTTACGCTACATGCAATGGGTAGTTACATGCACTGCAGTGTAGGTCCATATAATTATTATATGTGCGAGTATTTACAGTGGAGACTTCTAAAGCCGTGCCTTCTCGACAAGAGTAGGCCCACGCAGCTCGAGAACTGGTGGTTGACCATGACCAGGGGGACTACAAAGAAAATGAAAATGGGAAGTTGGCTATGACTTGTTTTGCCCTGTGACATTGAGCATTAGTAGCTACATGCACGTCCCTAATAAAGACAGTTACTTCTGGCTTACACTGTACGTTCAAGACATTATGGATTCTGCTCCCGACGGTTCAGTCCAGAAACCTATGTTGTCCAGGCCGTCCTCAATCGAGTCCCAGATGTCGGCGGTGATGCGTACATGCAGTGCCGTAGTTGTCTTGAATTCCTCCCACGTGTCTTCCGTTGCCAGGTCACCAAGTTCCTCCTGCAATGCAACACACACACAAAGGTGTATGCCAGCCAAGCTACTCATACATTGTATTAATTGACGATTATACAAGGAACTCTGTTCTGATGTATAATCATAATTGCATGAAGAGGTGAAGCGAAATGTAACACTGTAGTGGCCCTACATTTTTACTGCATAAATAACCAGTTTTCAAAGCTTTTTTTTTTTTTTTTTTCTTTCGTTCCTACACCATAACACGCATGCTCGGCCAGTCCTTCCTCGGCCTTGTTTGAACGCGTCAATGGCCAAGATAAAGCCCATGGGCACTCCCCGGTGCATAAGTAAATGGGATGGGCGGGGAGGGACTACAGTGTTACATTTCGCTTCACCTCTTCATGCAATTATGATTATACATCAGAACAGAGTTCCTTGTATAATCGTCAATTGCACATCAGAGGCTCCGCTCCATGTAACACTGTAGATTTCAACGCTCAAATCAGAGGTGAAGCGAACACCACAAGACCGGAGAGAGGGACCAACGCAGGCCATGAAAACCCCCAACCGGGCATGCAGCACACCATGCACACCACCAAATCAGTAAGGAACAGGGTAAACCGGTGCCACGGAAACTTGCCGCAGAAAGTGACAAAAGGCCTGTCCAGAACAAGGACACAGGCGTAATGGCAAAAGGAAGAATAAATGAGGAAAGCCGTGTACTATACACATGCACAGATAGAACGGCATTGAGAAAGCCAGGCACAGACAGCAATCGGATTACTGAGGTAGACACAAAGTCACAGACTCAGAACCTGGCCAGGCCAACATTGGTAGCGCTACGGCGCAAGCACGGAGCGGCAGAACTGCTGATGTGCCGATGGGGAAGAGCCGCTGGTCTCACCCTCCCACGGCTTGAAATAGAAGCGCTGGAACACGGATGCGCAGCTCCAGTCAGCACATTTCATGATGTCCACTGTCGACATACCTTTACGCTTCGCAGCAGACGTAGAAGCGGCACGAGTGGAATGGGCACCAAACAATGATGTGTCCACACCAGCCTTGGACATAACCTGCTTGATCCAACGAGCAATCGTTGCAGAGGTGACAGGGTGGTGCGGACGCTTCGTGCTGAGGAACAGATGTGCAGAAGATGCCTGCCGCAGGTCGGCGGTCCGACGCAAGTACTCCCTGGAGCACTCCACAACACAGAGTGCAGGAGTCACAGGAAAGGCAGCAAAGGTGACAGGTCGGGCTGGTTCCGAACCAGGGCGATGCTGCTTAGGGGGTGTGAGATAGTCAAACACCACGCCCTCGGCAGAGAAACGATGAGAGTTGAGGCTTAGCCGGTGGAGGTCCGAAGAGCGCCGAGCAGCAGTCAAGGCCATCAGAATGGCCAACTTGCCAGACAAGACAGGGAGAGACAGGTCCGTGTTGGCAGGCAGTTTAGAGAGCCAAGAAGTGACAATACCCACATCCCAAGTATGTGAGTACCGCGGCTGCGGCGGACGCTCTAGGCAGATACCACGGAGCAAACGCACCACCAACGGGTGCTGGCCAATGGGTGCACCATCCAGCTCAGGCAGGGTAGCAGACATCGCTGACCGATAGACATTCAGGGTACTGTAGCTGCGGCCGTCCTCAAAGGAATCGGCCAGGAACTGGAGCACCATAGCTAAAGATGGGCGAACGGGATCCACTGACCGTTGACTGCACCAGCCCAGCCACTGCTCCCATGCCGATGCGTAAGCGGCATTGGTTGATGACCGCCAAGAGGAGGAGAGGAGTCGCACGACCTGTGGAGAAAGTCCTGCTGCATTGAAGCGCTGCTGGAGATAGGCCATGCGGCGAGGCGCAGGTGGCGGGATAGTACCAGTGGGTGTGGATGGCCCGAGGGTGAGAGTAGCAGGCAGTCGAATGTGGGCAGAAGCATGGGGAAATCGACCAACAGCTGCAGCAAAGTCGCGTACCATGGCTGCGTATCCCATACTGGTGCGACCAGTATCATCCGGCAAGTATGGAGTGAGGCCACACGATGAAGCACCCTGTCCAGTAGGCAGAATGGTGGGAAGGCATACACCGCGTCCTGATGAGGGAGACTCCAATTCTGAGAGAACGCATCTAGAGCGAGAGCCTCCGGATCCGGCCTCCAAGCATAGAAGGCGGGAAGTTGCGTGTTCAGTCGAGATGCGAACAGATCTAGCACCAAGGTCCAAGGAGCTGCCCTCTGAATCCTGCGAAACAGAGCAGGGTCCAGGCGCCAGTCGCCGGACTCGGAGAGGGAGCCCCGAGAAGGATGGTCCGCTGGGTTCTCCTCGCTCGGCACATATTCCGCCTGGAGGCGGATATCGTGTTGGACCGCCCATCTCCAGAGGTCGCAAGCGATCTGGGACAGGAGACGGGAATGCGTGCCGCCTAAGCGGTTGATGTAGCTGACGGCTGTCGTGTTGTCGATCAACAACTTGATGTGCAGAGGACGGTACGAGGCCCGGTGATGAAAGGCTTTCACCGCGAATGAGGCAGCGATCAATTCCAGAGCATTGATGTGGAGATTGGCCTCGGTAGGGGACCATTGACCCCCAGTACTCGTTGTGCCGCACACCGCTCCCCAGCCGAGCAGGGACGCATCGGAGAATATGGTGAGCTGAGCGGGAGGTTTGAGAATCGAGCGACCGTTCCAAGTTTCTAGATCTGCTGCCCACCACGTCAGCTCCGTCCTGGCTTCCGGCGTCAGGCGTACCGTGGCAAGGTAGCTCTGATGGCGACGAAGGGCTGCAATCTTCAACTGCTGAAGGTGGCGGAATTGCAGTGGAGCCAGAAACATGCCTGGGGAGCACGCAACCATCCTGCCCAGGAGTGAGGCCAATGCGCGGATGGACAGGTAGGGCTGGGACAGGGCTCAGTGGCACTCCTGCTGGAGTTTCCGCGCCTTGTCGATCGGCACAGACATCGTCATGGCCACAGAGTTCAACTGAAATCCTAGGAACTCGAGCTGTTGCGTAGGCTCGGGAATGGACTTCTTCCGATTGATTACGAAACCCAGAGATTCTAGGAGTTGAATGGCCTGCTGCGTCTGCAGCACGGCGGCCGGCCGTGACTCGGCAATCAGGAGAAGGTCGTCGAGATACAGGATGAGACGAATGCCCTGACGACGAAGAACACTGATCGGGACCTTCATCAGCTTCGTGAATACCCGGGGGGCGCTGGACAGGCCGAACGGTAGGCACTGAAACTCGTAGAGTTGGCCCTCCCAACTGAAGCGCAGGAGCCGGCGGTGTTGGGGATGGATCGGCACGGTGAAGTACGCGTCCTTGAGGTCTAGCTTTGTGAGCCAATTGCCCTCTCGGACGGATAGGGGAACAAGGTGGAGACCCTCCATCTGGAAGTACTCGCACCGCACGTGCTCGTTCAGGTGGCGGAGGTCGATGACTGGACGTTCGGCGGTGGTACCCTTCTTGGGTACGGTGAATAACCGGCTCACGAACTGGCCGGGAGATGGGCTCACCGGTCGAATTGCACCCTTGGATAGGAGATCCTCTATCTGCTGGTGGACGATGGCGCATTTTTCGGGAGGGAACCACATCTCTGTCGGAGCGGACCGCTGGCAAGGAACGGTGTGGAGGTCTAAGCAGTACCCTGAGACGGTCTTCAACACCCACGCATCCTGCGTTAGGTCTCGCCAGGCTGCCGCAAAATGCTCCAATCGGCCCGCTACCTGGGGGGTAGGGGCTTCCGTGAGGCAGCCAGGCACGGGGGAGGTCGTCAACGACCTCGAGGGCGCCCGCGAAAGGGCTGGCCCCGGCCGTTTTTTGCTGGCTGGCGGAAATGCTCCTCAGGCCGGCGGGTGACATGACCCCGTCCTGCCCTGTCGTAAGGGCGGAACCGCCCTGGATCTGACCGGTACACGGTACGACCAGAAAAACGGTCAGGACGGGCAGGCTGCGACCGGTCCTGTGCGGTCCCCGGGCGCCGCCCAGAAGGCCGTGGCTGGAATACGTCCATTTCCTGGCACTTCCGTTTATACTCCCGGGAAAATCCATCACCGAAGAGGAGATCACCGGAAGGACGCAAGCCCTGCAGCAGGCTCTTCGGGCATCTCTTTGGCAGCGCTGCCATGAGGCGCTGACGGCGTGTCTCCGACAATACATTCGAGGCGTCGCCCGTCATGACGATCGCCATCTGGACCAGCTCGGTCAGTTCATGGACCGGCCGGCCCTGCTCAATAGCAGCCCAGAGCGCGGCCAGGGGACGGAAAACGTCCGTAACCTTTTGTTGGATGTTGGCCAGCATTCTATCCGCTCTCTTGGCATTGGCCAGGCCCTGGACATCCGACAAGAACGGGTCCACGCGTGGACATCGCGTTTCCTCCACGTCCGGTCGGGGACACAGTTTCCGCACCCGTCGACGCTCAGCGAAGGACAGGGAACCACGGCAGTGCTCCCGTAGGTACGAGGCCATGTGCGAGGGGGGAGACCATACAGAGTCGTCCATTAACCCCTTAGGATCGAAGCCCGCGCCGCTACCACGGCGATGCTCTTGGGCAGCCGAGTCGTCGGATGACGGACATGTGCCACTAGGACTGTCGGAGTCACTATCGTCAGATTCTGATGTACCAGAGCTAGAACTAGTGCCAGAACTATCTCGGTGCCTGGTGAAACGGTGCGACTTGCGCCGTCTGGGTGACCCATGGCCATGTCGTCCCCGGGCACTCAGGCGGGACTCGTGCGTAGCACCCGAGCGTGACCCTGACCGACATCTGTCCGCAGATTGAGATCTAGATCTAGATCTACGTGTACGTGTAGCACCAGCCGATCTATGGCGAGTACGTGTACGTCGTTCACATGAAGCAGAACGATAACGAGGGGGAGATCGATTAGATCGTGAGTGGAGTGGAGATCTGTCCCGTGAGCATGATCTAGATCTATCTGTACGTAAATCACGTGACCCAGATACGTCAGTGACGTCACCCCTAATATGGCCCCGGCCGCCATTGCTGGAATGGCGGTCCGTGGAAAAACCGAGGCTTGCCGAACGACGTTCGGCCAATGAGACAAAACGAAAAGGCTCCCCGCCGTCTACCCGAGAGTCATCCTGGTTCCCTTCCCTGTTGGAAGAGTTCCGAGCCTCCTCCATTTCTTGACCGCCAGAGGCTGCGGTGGTGCCACGACCAGTTTCTAATCCGCCCGTGGGTGCGGAATTTGAGGAAATTTGTATACCGTTCCCCGAAACGGTGTCTCCTATTTGTTTTCCGCGGGAGTGGGCGGATGCCGCGATGGCAGATTGTACCTCTGGCTGCGCCAGGGTATGCAGCAAATCCAAAACAGCGTCCATCGTGGAGATATTTTGGAAAAACTCGAAGAGGCATGCAATGCAAACTACGCAGAAAATGCAGTAAAAACAAGGCCGAGGAAGGACTGGCCGAGCATGCGTGTTATGGTGTAGGAACGAAAGAAAAAAAAAAAAAAAAAAGCTTTGAAAACTGGTTATTTATGCAGTAAAAATGTAGGGCCACTACAGTGTTACATGGAGCGGAGCCTCTGATGTGCAATCAACATGCACAATGGCGATTGTAATGATTCTACTTCAAGAAGTAGAACAATATTCCAGCCAATTATTACACAGAGCTACTAATCCTCGTGCTAGCCAATTTATTTGCCATCCAACTTACCAGCTCCAATCAATGTCTTCCGCCACTAGATAATGGATAGCAGAAGACTGGTCAAGAGAAAATCTCTCATGCAGCGGTATGCAGCGGTGTGCATGCAGCACGGGCATGCAGAGAAAGCTGTATCATCCGGCTGCACTTAGAGTAAGTCACTTGTGTATCACGGTGTGCTATTCACACACCCAATGCATGCACTTCTACTGCGTTCACAGCATGCCTAATAGCTCTGTGTGACAATACTTCAGTGTCGAGTCTCGACACAGCACAAACCCAGACCCTATCGTGCATGCTACTGTCGGAAAACGCGACTGAAGTAAAACGTGCGACATTGTAATTTACTCACGCGTAGTGCGATGTTCATTGACCACAGAGTTGTGGAGATGCTTTCAAATGTTGGTCTCTGTTCTGCATCAACACTCCAGCACTGAGTCAACAAATCATACCTGCAGTGGAGAACAGACCAAGCAACACACAGACTTTCCATTGAACTATACAAGTACCGAGGGCAGATTTAGCTTCAGGGCAATCCTACAGGCCATCACTCTCTCTCATTGTGTCGATGGGTATGGTAGGATTTCAGGCATGTTTGAACTCCAGGCCAGCTTTCTGCCTCAAAACTGCCATTTCCATGGCTCTGTGGCCATGCAGCAGCACCGCGGCATAGCGACATTTCATCTCAGATGCTGTGCTATGACCACCCGTTACAGGACACCTTTCGCTCATAAAAGCCAGTGTCTAGGCTGCACAGTGATAACAAAATGAATTCGACGAAAGGCACGTCCACGCAGAGAGTAGTGGCCAATGTGGACTAGTTGTAACCAAAGAGCCTGCTTCAAGTGAATGATAGAATACTAAGAGTACTATGGATAACCATTATGCCACGGTTAGCCCATTATTACCCCGTAACACATTGGAGATTGTCCACATCCGCACCCGCCACACGTTGATCTACTGAAGTGCCAGTGAAATGCATAGATTACCAAGACACCGTCCATCTGCACAAACTATAAACCAGCACCTGGCAGTCACACACAAATACTTCGACGTAGTAAAGCTGGCATATGCATGTGGGTGTATTTCTCTATCAACGTTCTGCTACCGTCAAACCAAGATCCTGGTTTGACGGTGCGCATGACATGCATGTACTTACATTCCAGCAGGCAGGGGCTTGACGGGCTGAAGGCGACCTTTGCCGTGCGCTACAAAGTTCGTAATCTGGACATTCTCCACAGCTGCAAATGGTGAGCGTCCCAGCGCAAAGATTTCCCAGGCAGTCACGCCAAATGCCCACTGCATGGAGGCAGCATTCAGACGATAAAAATTACCATGAGGAAGTGCCAGTATGCAGCATCCGATTTGAAAGTCCATGTATACATAGCAGCCCGTGAAACAGTGGGCATTTCCAGGCAGGCCTGGTGAGACCGCACTGGAACAACTGATCAGTAGCAGCAGGAGTACTCTTATGTACTCTTGGTAGCAGTCCCTAGTGTAACCCCCATTTGGACAGAGTCCATAAAAAGAAGCTTGAAAAATTGAAAACCGGTGGATAAGCGAACACCTACTTCACAGCATACATGCCAGCAATACAGACGTTCACTGCAGTAAAGCAGGGATACACACAGGTGGACAGTACATGTGATAGACATCTGTTTCCTTTCTCGACTGGTTTCACATCTTTGTCATGTGGCTAAATTAGTGTAGAAACTAGAAAGTCATGGCGTGTAGACATTAGGACCAACATGGTTGCTCTGTACGTATGGTCATGTGATAAATGTGCAACAGCTCTATAGCCATGCATCTCCAGTCAAAAGGGATGGAAAATGGAGGAGGATGTGTATGTGTGTGTGGGGGGGGGGGCATCTAGCACTTACCACATCACTCTTAGATGTGAAGTGTCGGGAACCGAGCAGCAATTCCGGTGCCATCCACTTGATAGGCACAGATAGTGTTGGCGACACGGAATAGTAGTCACGTGGATAGACGGTCTTTGAGATTCCCAGGTCTCCAATCACAATGCATGGTACTTCATTCATGATTCTGTGAAGTGTGCATAAATGAACATGTAGGTAAGGTAACCTAAAGGTGAGGGAGAGAGAGAGAGAGAGAGAGAGAGAGAGAGAGAGAGAGAGAGAGAGAGAGAGAGAGAGAGAGAGGGAGGGAGGGAGGGAGGGAGGGAGGGAGAGAGGGAGGGAGGGAGGGAGGGAGAGAGGGAGGGAGGGAGGGAGGGAGGGAGGGAGGGAGGGAGGGGAGGGAGGGAGAGAAAGAGGGGGAAGGAGAGAGTGAGGGGAGGGAGAGGGAGAGGGAGGGAGAGAGGGAGCAAGAGCGGGAGGGAGGGAGGGAGGAAGGGAGAGAAGGAGAGGGAGAGGGAGAGGGAGAGAGTTCGAGCACAGACTAGTGTTTTGTGTGTGTGTGTGTGTGTGTGTGTGTGTGTATATGTGTGTGTGTGTGTGTGTGTGTGTGTGTGTGTGTGTGTATGTGTGTGTGTGTATGTGGGTCTTAACTTTTAAAATGCCTTGTACATGTCCAGTGAGTTCTTCTTTTAATATGAGGTGTGGCGGCATGTCGGAATTGTGTGTACAGCAACACTGCTGTGCAGTCCGCGGTTGCTCAGTGGAATAGTACTCCATTCAGAATAGAATACAGACGATCAAATCCAGCCAACACAAGCCTTACTGCACAAGAACAACACCGGTAATGGCCACACATGCTGGTGCTTGGATTGAAAGTTTGCGTCAGGTGAAACTGAGTTTTGACCCCACGAATATGAAAGCAACAAGCGCTATACGCCCCTACCACTGCATATACAGAGTTCTGCTCTGGAGCCGCTGAGTCCGCTAGAGTCACTTAGAGTCACTGCTGTGTATTCAGGGGGGGGGGGGGGGGGCATGGAAGCTCTCTGTATTGGACAAACTGATCGTGTTTTTGAGACCTACAGGCAGTTCCTGGATGCCAGGTCGCCGTGAACCAAGCCTTTCGTCTCCAGGTAGGACATGCCACTCGCTATCTGCTCCACTATCTCCAACAAGGATAGTGCTTGCACACGTCGCTGCAGAGCATGAAGAGAATATGAGAAACGGAAACCGCAATGAGGAACTGGCATAACGCATCATATATGAAGTATTGAAATCAAACATGGGCGCACAATTGGATGGTAGCGAGTACAGCTCGGGCCCATCAGTCCTGCACATGCTGAGAGTAATACAGTCACCAGTCCTGGTGATGTCCTAGATAGGACATCACGGAACCCAGCATGCCCCAGCATACATACTATGCTGTTCCCATAGTAATCGTGACACGTGACTCAAAACTTTGTGTCGCGTCCGAGGAAGATGAACATGTCTTGCTTCCAGGCTGATGACTACAAATGTAATGTCCAATGGTTGTTGGTAAGACCACTTACTGGTCTCTCTTCAGTTGCGTCCTTCGGCTCAAACAGGTCATTGAGTGCCACGCGTGCAGCATTTCTCAGATACGCTTTCAGATCACCGTAGGCTGGAATGCAGGTGACCAGCCAGACATCGGTTCTGACGTCCAAGCACACTGCCTCCAGCTGCAGTACATTCGGGTGTGTCAGGGTGCTGAGAAGCAGCGCCTCTTTGAGCAGGTGCTCGCGCTTGGCAACATTGCCTTGTTCTGTAAGTTAACAATGCCAGAGCAATTACCGGTACAACTTACACTGAGTATGTATGCGAGCACAAACATGTACAAGCAGACCGACACACAGACAAACACACAGACAAACACACAGACAAACACACAGACAAACACACAGACAAACACACAGACAAACACACAGACAAACACACAGATGTACCAAAATATGTACATGCAGGCAGGTACCCAGGCACAACACAATGAAGTTCTACAGTCCGACTACTACTCAAGTACAAGTAAGATGTCACATTGAGATACATGTTGGTAGTACAGCACGGTACCAAAAAGACAGTGAAAATATAGTAGGGCCCCAACCATATAGCCTTATAGGCACTCAAACATATCCCCATTTCATTGTCGGCACTGAAATTATACGCTCCACGTGTACTTAGAAGTACATCACGTGTTCACAGTGCCCAGTATTGCACGTGAACATACGTATTAGGCTCTTGACGAGGACTTTCTTGATCGGCTCGCGGTGCTCATTCAGCAGCTGAGCACCCTGGACAATTTCCTGCTGGCCTGTGACAACCCATAACATAGACAGGTGGACAGTTCAATAGCATACCTATGCACTGAAATGCCAGCCCTGCTATTCACATGCAGACACGTGTACATGATTGTAGGGATGCTGGCGTTGCTGTCCGCTGTGTACCCTGCTGCCCAGGTGCACATCCAGCGATGCACGCCGCAGTGTGGATGTGTGGCGCCCATGAAAGGAATTTGCGGCTACATTTACGCCGCATTAAAGGGATACAAGAACCGTGAAACCAACCAGAGTGGCGGTGGTGGTGATGTGGCAGAGAAAAACAGATACACAGTACCACCAGTGCAGTTTAGTCTACCATGACACTGTCACTGAGTGAGCTCACTCACTGTGTTGAGATGAAACCATCCTGTGTAGATGTCTACACTGAGTGGTCTTTCCGCACAGGTCTCAATGTACAGGCATGAAGTCGAGTCTGATTGAGGCAGGCAGCCTCAAAACCGTAAAGTCAAAAGGCACATGGTTTCAAATGCTACAATTGCTACACACCCAGGCACCCTATGATTGCATTACTGATGTCCTCACTGACCATACACCAACGGATCTTGCAGAATGAGGCGGTCACGCGGCACGGCGTACTTCTCCAGCGCCATGAACAGGCTGTCCAAGCGCAGGCGTAGCCGCACGTCGTCCTCGTTGCACGTCGGCATCTGTCGGCATGACGACGAGACCAGGCCAGTGCTGCGCGTCACGTCGCCACGCCGATCAATACCGAGCAGCGTCTGAATGCACTCCGGGGAGAAGGCTGGGACAACAACAGTAGGTGACCAGACAGACTACAACATTACACGTGAACTCTTCATGGCCATTCAGGACACCGTGTACAGCATGGAGAGAGAGAGAGAGAGAGAGAGAGAGAGAGAGAGAGAGAGAGAGAGAGAGAGAGAGAGAGAGAGAGAGAGAGAGAGAGAGAGAGAGAGAGAGAGGGCACGGTGTGGTATCCTATTATACGACTCACAATCATGTGTTCTGAACAACAAGAACTGAAGTGTCAACCAAGATAGGTACTGCAAATGATATATAATAATTATGTATCATTTGCAGTACCTATCTTGGTTGACACGTATATAATTTATAGTTAATAGACTTACAGCTGTCGTTATTTGCTATAGTCTCAGCAACCACCGGCGGTAGTGCTTTCGCTGCTCCTCCGTCTTCACTGTGCATCACACGCGCGCATATGCACACACACACACACACACACACACACACACACACACACACACACACACACACACACACCACACACACACCACACACACACACACACACACACACACACACACACACACACACAACACACACAACACACACACACACACACACACATACACACACACACATGTACCATGTACCATGTATACGCCCGTCGCAAGAGAAGCACGCAAATCTGCAAATGCACTGGATGTGCACCCACAGATTTCCTCTTATAGCAACGATAGCGAACAAGATCTGAATGAGACAGATCAAGACTTGCGCCAGATAACTGTATAATCCACACATACACACACACCTTGAACTTCCGACTACTTGTGCAGTGAGTGCGCAACAACAACTCCGCAGTAGCTTGCAAGGCCACTGGCGGAGGTCACCACAGCCCTGCCCTGGTCTAACCACACGGACAGGGCTGTGTTACGTGACACAAATGACTTGAGGTCAGAGCACTCAAAAATGCAACCAACCTCTACTGTACCAAGCACACACACACACACACACACACACACACACACACACACACACACACACACACACACACACACACACACACACACACACACACACACACATCCAGGACCGCCGGAACCGGTCCGGTTGGTCAGGTTATCACAGGACCAACAATTTAGCCACCAACACCTGTTTACTACTGTGGAGGTCATGTGACGATGTGTACCCACCATATCATACACACAGTATGAAAGGCAATGAAACTACCGGACCAATCACACACTGCTTCCAGTGGTCCTGACATCACCATGGTTTATTTATTTATTTCTGCACCTCGTGGCATGTCAAGACAGCCAATTAAATTGAGGAGAGGGTGAGACCAACCACGGAAGAAGAGAAAAAAAGAAAATGAAGAGCATGTACACAAAGTGGGAAGGGATTAGCAACTTACAAAGCAATGGGATGCTCAGCGAGCTATGCAGCGGAAGTGGGGACTGTGACTTTGTTCACTGGGAGATACTGAAGTGCTGTCTGACGAGGTGACTATGAAACTAGCTTCTTACATGCACATGGATCAGGATATCATACAGTAGTGTATTTTCCAGAATATAAGCCACACTGGACTCTGACTGGAGTATAAGCCGTACCCCCATTTTTTTGCCACAAAATACAGACATCTACCCTATTTATAACCATTAATTTGATCAGGAATAGACTCGGATGGAGAGCCAAGGATTAAAGGGGAAGTTAAGGCAAAAATTAAAATTTCACCAGTTGTAGTCTTCGGGGTGCTGAGTCGAATGGTCGTGGTCCGAGGAAGCTGAGACGCTCCCTTCCTACTTGAATCCCAATCGAACTCGCGCACTTCCACCGAAACTGGGTGACTGCGCCCTACGAGATGGGGATTTGTATGCAAAATGTCACTAAAAGCGCCATTTCAGTGGCGGATCTAGGGGAGGGCGCGGTGGGCGCGCGCCCTTCCCTCAAACAGTCAATTTTTTTTAGTGCATGCACATGGGCAGTTGCGCAAGTGTTTGCACATGCTGTGAGTGTGACAAGAAGTTTCTAGTGTCAGATAAGAAAGTTCTTCTGAACACGGAGTAGCTGTTCTCTTAGACTTTGGTTGACTTTTAGTTTTGAAATTAGTGTTCAGTTGACGAACCTGTATAGCTAAGTCGGTGAAGGGGATGGCGCACCGCCCGCCCTAGCGGCCAGGGAGCCAACAAACTCTCCACGGATTTTTCGCGAAGCGAACTTACGCTTCGTCAGCTGCTCAGTCGAGCGATCCGTCTTTGGAGGAGAATTCGGACCACCGCGAAGATCCTGAGATCGAGGTCTGCTCAGACTCTGATCTTCCCCAAATGGAATCCGAAGTAGATTCTGACGACGATGGTGGGGCTGTCAGTACGTAGTAGTGATGCGAGTCAGGAGCGTTTACCTGTTGAAACTATCGCAGATGACGATGTTGTGACTGTCACGAATGTGGCTGGTGGCACTGCTACGCAGCGAAGTTACTCGGATGCTGTTGATGCAGCTATTGGCGGTGCAGCTCTCAGCGATGCAGAAAAGCGCAACATACTTGGGAACCGGAAGCCTGATAAGCAGACGGTGTTGCCATCTAGGAATTATTCCGACAGCCGCCGAAAGACCGGTACTTCCACTCGCTCCCTGCTACTGAAGTGGTTTGAGTGGCTTGCCTATTCCGGAAAGGCTGGCGAGGAAGGCGTTTTTTGTGCGCCGTGCGTCCCGTTTCCTACAGTGCATCGACAAGGATCAACCCGAGGTGAATACCTCATCATCCATTCTTACTGCTGGACATGGCCATCCAAGTAATCGTATATTTTATTATTTTGCCATTGTTCTCGATCTCAGCATGTCTTGAGCTTTGAAGCACTATCTTTACACAGCCAGAGTCCTCAATGAAGTGGTTGAAAAAGTGGGAGTGAGTGCATGTGCTTGTGGTGATATTGTAGCACCTTTCCCTGCATGGGTCTTGGCACTCAGGCTGCTAGTGCTACTGTTCGCACCCTAGGCCCTGCACTGCTGTACCTCTGGCGCCTTGCACATAACACATTCACATGTCACCTTTCAAGCCGCCTTTGCAGCCAGCTTCCCTTTAAAAGCCATTGCGTTTTACTGATGATTCATTCTCATCTTTCGAAGAGTTGGTCTGCCTTGAGCAGGACACAACATGGCGCAGCGAAAGACACGAACCTCTGTCAAGGCCAAGGCTGAGGAAGCAGCAGCAATCAACGACGGGTTGACAGAGCGGATGCAGCCAGGAACTCAAGAAGAAGGAAGCCTGCTGCAGTCTATCGTCCAATCCCTCAGCCAGCAGCAGCAGATTCTGCTTAGGCTCACAATGGCGCAGTCAAGCCAGCCTGCCGGCAGCGGCCCGCCACCATCCACCTCAAGACAGCCAGAGGTAGGGCCGTGGGCCCGGAGAGCGGAAATACCCCACCTGCCCAGTCCAGACTCGATAGACCTAGCTGGTTTCCTCGAGTGGAAAGTCAAGTGGTCTGACTACATGTCGTTGACTGGGCTATGCAGAGACGCAGGTACAGTTACACAGCAAGCAGTTCTCCGTACAGCTCTCAATGATGGTTGGGTGCGGCTGTGGCAGGCGGGCGTAGTTCCCATAGCCGACGGCGATGATGAGCGGGTTGCCATCCAGAAGCTGGAAGCTTTCCTGAGAAAGCGAAGAAACCCGTTACTGGACCGCAAGGCCTTCCATGGCAGGAGCCAGAGACAAGGTGAGAGTATCAGCCAGTACTTCTCGGGTCTGTCTCAGCTGCATGATGCGTGCAGCTACCCAGATAGTCTGCAGTGCGGCAGATGTGGGTCACTGTGCGGCCATGAGGCCCAACTTCGGGAAACCCGGCTCCGCGACAGGCTCGTCTGTGGCCTAAGGGATCGAGCGATGCAACGACGGGTGCTCGAAGAAGAGAATGCCAGTGAGTTATCGCTCGATCGGGTCATGCAGATATGCTCTGCATACGAATCCTCTACCGATACGGAATCTGGCCTCGGTGAGCAGCTGCCCGACCTGGCGTTGGCGGCGGCAACGAAGTCCACTTACAAGCGTCAGCAGGCGCAGGCAAAGACGCTGAAGTCGGACGTAGGCACGTGCAGGTTTTGTGGGGAGACTCACCCCAAGGGCCAATGCAATGCCTATAACCAGACATGCCGCCTGTGCCTCAAGGTGGGTCACTTTGCTAGGGTTTGTCGACAGCGGACCTCGCCCTCACCAGGAACGACGTCTGTCGACTCGCTGTTTGTCAACCAGGCTGGTCCTTCTAGGAACAAGCTGGTGACGGTTGGCGTCGCGATCCAGGGAGGATCGTCATGCGCTATCGGGTGGCTGCCGGACACGGGCGCGGATGTGGACGCCATCAGTCTTACCGACCTGGATGGTATCGACCCAAGCCTCGGGATGAATTTAGTGCTGGACACAGCTGATGTCAAGGCAGCTAACGGTACAGCTTTGGATTCCATGGGCAAGCTCAAGGCTCAGTTGTCTTTGAGCGACACTACCGCCGTGTCGACCCTGCACGTATTCCGGCAGCTGAAGACACCTCTGCTCAGCAAGGACACGTGCATGAAGTTGCGGCTTCTCGAGGATGGATGGCCTCACTCCCGTCTAAGGGTACAAAGCGTGGCGAACATCTCCATCCCTCGGAAGCAAGCATCCGAAGTCGCAGACACGTCAGTAGGTACTGCATCGACGGCGGCTGAGGAAATCCGACGTACCTTGCTGGAAGAGTTTCCAGAAGTGTTCTGTGATACCCCGCTCAAGCCCATGAGCGGTGAGCCGATGCGCATCGAGCTCATCAATGGCGCGTCGCCATGCCGCCTGTATCGCGCTCGCTCCATCCCATTCAGGTGGCGGGACGCTGTGCAGAACCAGCTGTCCGACATGGTGGGCAAGGGCGTCATTGAGAAGGTGCCTGTCGGCGAAGCGTACACTTGGTGCCACCCACTGGTGGTGGTCCCTAAGAAGAATTCCAGTGAGCCGCGCATCACGGTGGACCTGACGGGTCTAAATAAATGGGTCAAGAGGCCGGCATACCCAACCCGAGTACCTCGGGAAGTCGTCGCGTCGATCCCAATGGGGATGCAGTACTTCACCACCCTAGATTCTCGCCATGGCTACTGGCAGGTACCCCTCGACGACGATAGCACCAGGCTCACAACGTTCATGACGCCATGGGGTGCCTACCGTTTCAAGCGGAACGTCATGGGCTTGGTGTCGGCAGGTGACGAACACAACCGGAGAGGAGACGAAGTGTTCGCCGGGTTTTCGAATCTTCAGAAAGTGGTAGAGGATGTCATCGTGTACGACACTGAGCTTGAGGCGCACACCCAGAGGGTTCGCAATGTGCTCAAGCTTTGCTCGGAGAACCAAATCACACTGAACCGCCGCAAATTCGTCTTTGCGGCACCCAGAGCATCGTACTGCGGATTCGTGGTGACGCCGGACGGCTACAGTCCTGA